TTTTTTTTTTTTTTTTTTTTTTTTTTTTTTTTTTTTTTTTTTTTTTTAAGTAAAAGTCAGGTTAAAAAAAGTGAAGTAGCACAAGCGTAAGTTGGCTCATTGAACATTGAGAGCTTTGGTGGATCAGGAGAGTAGGTACCTCAAACCATGAAAAGATCGACGCATTGGTTGCAATGCGCCTGTAACGATGGGTGGAGGCGTTTGTCGATATCTAGTCGAGGAATCAAGGCATCCAGTCGAGGTTCCGGTGGTGCCAATTGCAAGCACTCGGCTGGTGTTAGCTAAAAATCAAGAGGAAAAAAATAGGGATACCCATTTAGTACGAGTTTCCAACGTCATTTTAATCAAGATAAACTCTAAACTCGAATACTTAATCCAAGATGGATTGTTTAACCATAAAAACGCAGTGTCACAACGTGAAAAAAGAAATATTGATTGTTATTTACTAAACTCTAAAGTATGGATCCAACTATAAACCATTAAAAAAGCTGTATTGGATCGAAAGATATGCCACATAATTAATTATACACAATTCTATCATATTAATTTATTATTATTATTAAATATTAACTATTGACAAAAAATATAAATTAAAAATTCAATTGAAAGTCTGAATTTTAATAAAGCTGTTAAGTATCAAGATTCCAGACAAACTGTTTCGTTTCGTAGCGCCTGCATTTATTGAAAAGCTCAAGACTCGTGGTACGCTCTTAGTAATATAAATAAAAATAGTAAGATATGTAAAAAAATCACGTACTAAAAATATGTACTCACGAGGGCTGCCTGCTGTGGCATGGGCGCGATTCCAGGCACAGTGGCTGGATTGTAATAGTTGGTCGGGCTGACTGGCGGTGATGGGTAAGGCCAATAGAATATGGGCGGATAGGGTGTAGCGAATGATGCTGGTGGCGCACGTGGCAACATTGCAGGTGGTGGTGGCGGTGGTAGAATAGCACCCGCTGCCAACGGAGGTGGCATCATCGTGCTTCCTAAATGAGGAATGATTTAAGATTACTCGATTATAGCCAGAATTGCATTTTTCGAAGTCAACAATGTTGATACATCGCAAGTAACGGAGCATTCTGTTACTCATACTTTTCCTTCTCATTAATTCGGTTCAATTTTTTTTTTTTTTTTTTTTTTTTTTTTTTTTTTTTTTTTTTTTTTTTTTCAATGAGCCAAAAAAAGTAGATGAAACCAAAAAGAGAGATAAAGAAAGAGTGCACCTTCTACAGCAGATGCGCGGAAAAGCATATTTGCATGTCCCAAGTATAAATCACATCTCTTCTGAGTTGATAGTTTCCCAACTGTTTGCATAAGTCATTCCCAAACATTCAAGGATTTAAGTATGAGGAAAAAAAAAAAAAAAAAGTAGTAATAGATGTAGAGTAAACGTAAAAACAACAGGTTAAAAAAAAGAGACTAGCCACTATTGTATTATGTATAGGCGTAAAAACAAATAATAATGTACGAAAAACTTGTGACCCTTTAACATATCACCACAGTTTGAATGTACCTCCTTATATATTTTTTTGAGTGCACTTCTCGGCAGTTTGTTTTGGTCACATCACAGGACGTGAAGCACATTTTCCAATGTTATGCATTATGTTACTTATTGTCAGATAAGAGAAAATATCTCGAGCATGATAAACCTTTACTTGGAAGTATATGAATTTGATGGCAAAAAGTACAAGAATGGAAAATAAACTAAAAAATGTCAATTAAAAAAAAAAAAAAAATACAATGATAGCATCATCGTTCCCAT